AAGATACACAGTAATCCCAGTAGCTTTTACACGTAGTTTGAGTCATAATGATTTATGAATACAGAAAAAACTTTCTCCCAAAACGCAATGGCAGATATTCCGAAAGATTTGGTCTAATCTGCAGGAGAAACAGCGCCAGCGTCGGTAAAAGGGTTATTTTTAAAGCCAAAAGTAGATTCTCTCTTAGTATTAATTTCTTTAAAACCTTTATTCTGCATAATAAGGGGGGGGGGGGATTATGGGCTGTGATTTTTATTGATTTATAAAAATAAAAAAAAAGCACCAGGCCGGAAAGAGGCTACAGCTAACCAAGGCTAACCTGTAGGCCAGGCATCCCCAGAGTCGGCCCTCAGGGGGCATCTGCCCAGCAGGTCTTACAGGTTTTCCTGCTCCGGCACAGCTGATTTCCATTTATAGTTCATTAACAGGCTTTTGCTGAACTGCAGTCATCAGAATCAGCTGTGCTAAAGCAGAGAAACCTCTAAAACCTGCAGGACAGTTGCCCTCCATGACTGACTTTGGTGATGCCTGCTTTAGGCTATCTATAGCTATAGCCCAGAGCGGTGACATGGAGCGACCGGGCATTTCAGGAAAAAAGCGTGCCGGATAGTGAGAGAGAGCTAGGACCTTAGAATAACCCATCTGCCTGTCGTAGAAACTGGGAATCACTGTAAGAAATAGACAATTTCTGTGGAGCGGCTGTTGTAGCCTGTAGCTAAGGGCGCCTGTGCTGCAGAGATCCTGATGGCTGCAGCTTGGGTTATAAAAATGTGTGTTTTAATAAGAGACTCGAATAGGGATGAAGTTGGAGAACTAAGGTTGAACGTTTCATTTCCACTTTAAATTATAAATGTGTTGAGATCACCTCAGCTTTAATTCTGCACAGCTGCATTGTTACGTGCCCTCGGGTGTTTTTGGTGATTTGCATAGGTACGGTATTTAGAGGCGATAAAAGGCAGAGTACATACAGGTCAGACTGGAATACATTCCAGCTAATTGAAATGTTTGAAGGTGAAGTCTACAGTAACACATTTGTGCATGCTTTTTTTTTTTTTTTTTTACATCTTTATGAACTCCTCACACCCTAGTAGGGGAGCTCAAAGAAATTTAATTAGGAAAAAAAGCTTTTTCAATGAAGCCCTCTTGCAAAAAACAATGTAGAAAAAACATGTAAAAATGCTTAAAATTAAGTGTATTTATCCTTAATTTGAGCAGGTAATTGAGCCAATGGAATTAGTATTTTTACTCTTCAAATAAGCTAATTAGAAAATATGCACTTGAAATAAGACAATGCAATCGTGTTTTCTTATTTCAAATGTAAGTTGTCTTGTTCCATTGGCAAAATGTCTCTTTTACTTCCTTAATACAAGAACAAATACACTTAATTTAAGAAAAAATGACTTATGTAGATTTAGAATTTTTTCCTGTGTTTGGATCTGGCAATTTCTGCAATATGTACACACTGGAAAAAAATCGGACGGGTTGGTCGTTGGATTGCCAACTTAAAGAGGGAGGATTTGCCATCGAACTTCTGGCCAGAGAAAAAACACGTAATATGTAGCCAACATTTGGAAGAACAATGTTTTCAAGATGACTTGGATAATAGCGCGTTGTGACAAACACCAGATACAGCACTGGGACTTGATCAACAGCCGATACCGCACCGTGACATCACAAACCAGTAGGTGGCAGCAGTGTTCTTTGACAAACATGGATGTCTCCAGTAAAGCACATTCACATAAAAATTACTCTGAATTAAAAACACTAATCATTTATTGAACAGGACGGAATAATTTCATATTTAAAGAACTTTCCTAAGTTCTTTAAGAAGTTTGTATTCTGAATATGAGCGGACTTTTCCTTCAAATCATTTCTTTGTCTTCCTTTTCCATGGTGTCTCTTCCTGCCCACTGTCAGCCACCACAGAAGAATTATTATCTCCCTTCTTAAGTTAATTTTCTTCTGTGGCGACTCTAAACCATACGAGGGGCGTTCAATAAGTAACGCCACTGATCCACTTCCACATGTTTGATCTAGTTGCATGTGCAAGTATTTATATCTCTATAGATTAAGTGGACAATTACAGCTCTGACCTAATCAGCTGTTTGAACTGAGTGAGGTCTGAAGTGGAGCTTGTTGAGTGTGCAGCAGTGATAAAGTTTTGGTATTTGAAAGGATGCACTCCACAGGAGACGTTTGATGAGATGAAAGTATCTTAAGGTGATGATGCCCCATCGTAGGGCCTTCAGTGGCGATACAGAGAACGTTGTGCTTGGATTACATTCACCAGAGTTGGAGAATTACAAAACTTTTTATCATGTAATGTTGTGGAGTGTCTAATTTCAATTCTTATTTTCCCTTGTGGAAAAGAGGCGGGCCTTGATGAGAATAGAGGCATTAGAGCAAAGAATGATCAAGGCCAGGTGACGCATCTGCTGGAACCTGTTTTTACTGGCTGCAGTTTGATAAGAGACAAACACGACAAACAGGATACAGGAACATTGTTCTTCTATCACGTGGCATCACAAACAAAAACAACATGGATATAACCTGATCCGCTCTTCAGACAGTAGCGCCGCTATGATAACTCAGACTCTCAGCATTTGCCATGTATGCAGACGCTCAGCTGAAGCAAAACACTGTCAGCTGCTTCTTAAAGGTGTGGAACGTTTATTTCTGCAGCTCATTTCAGCAAGCAGTCAATCAAAAAGCTTTATGTCTGTAGCTTTGAAGTCTGCTCTTTAAAGCACTGTACTGCATGTTTCAAACGTTTCCAAGCTTAGTCACTCCTGATTCTATTGTTAGTGCATTAACAGGCTTTACTGAACAGCCATAATCTCAGACAGGTGTGTTTTAGCAGAAGAACATATGAAACGTGCAGGAGGGCATGCAGTCTGAAAAACGCTCCTTCAGAGGATTAAAAACATGAACCTGTTGCAAAGGTGTGATGAATAAAAAGTTGGATTATAGACTCGAATTAATAATGATTCTGTTTGAACCATCAGTCCAAGGCCACTCATAGAAAAAGGGTTTTTAAACATGATTTGAAAGACCTCAAAGGGAATTCTGCTTTTCCATGTTTGCTTGTGATTCTGAGGTTTACTTCAGCCAAGAATCCTGATTGGTAGCAAGACTTGAAACCACAACAGCATCCTGGAGAGAAATATCATCTGTGCTGCTGCCATAAACTCCTTTGTTTCTAGATGTTGGAGCTTGGCCTGTTTTTCAGTGTAGTCCTGTTTCTCTGACTGTGACTAACTGGATGTGCTCTCTTCATCCTCTGACATGGGAGCTGGCTCGGAGCTCGTCTGCCTGGCTGTGTGTTTCCTGGACGGGGCCGCCTGTGGAGCTGGTTGACAGTTGCCTTTTGTATCTATGCTTCTTTTTCTATCTCTGCTTCTGTCTCATTGAACCCCAGTTGGCCTCAGCAGATGACACACTTAGCCTGGTTTAGTTGCAAAGGTATTAGCAGCTGATTCTAATATGACTGACAGGTGTAGCAGAAAGGTATTTAACCTGTAACAACACAGCAGGTTCTTGTCCACCTTTTAAAAACATCTTTTTTGTGGGTCTGATCCTCGTTCACACAGTGAGATATTTTCGTATGGACCTCATCCACTCTGTCAAAACCAATAGCTGACAAACTTTTATTTAATTTTACTAGTTTAGTCACAATCTGTTATTTTCACTTATGCAGAGGTGTCAAAAGTATCAAAGTTTATACTCCAGTAGAGTATAAATCCTACTGTTTCAAAACACTTTTGTAGAAGTTAGGGGATCAACTTCAGCTTATTACCCCAGTAAAAGTATAAAAATACAATTTTAAAACTTTTAAAGTATAAAAGTAATGCAGGAAAAAGGAACATTTTTCTACTATTCTGGATGATAACTTCCTTAGACTTAATTTTCTTAGTTTTATAACTAATGGTAACAGCGTCACATTTAACTTTGCATCGTCTGGAAAAACTATTTTGGTATGCGGTGAGCAACAAGTTGGGGCAGCACCGAGTCCAACCACAAATTAATTAATTGTGTGGATGAAACTAATTATTTTGATGGTTTTTATTTCTTTAAATACCAGCAGGCCAGAATGAAAATGACCTGAAATGGAAAAAAATAAGGGGTCTATTTATAAAATGGAAAGAGGAGAAGGAAAAAGCTGTCTAAAAAATAAATACTATAGTAAAGTATAGATACTTTTCTACTTAAGGAAGGTAACAAAGTATTTGTACTTTGTTACTTTACACCTCTGCATTTGTGATGTAATGGTCACTTGTGTTGTAAAAAAAGAAAAATCATAATTCTTGGATTTAAAGTAAACTTTTCTTTATTTAGAATCAAGCTAACTACCAGCAATAAGTTCCTCTCTCTACCTTCCAGTTCAGAAGCAATCCCCCCCTAGTTGTTGCTGGCTAACTGCCGATAAATGTAAAGAAGAAGTGCTGTAACTTTTTTTGTTGATTTTACAGTGTGCTGTTTGTGGACGTCATTAAAGACGATCTTTAAAATGAACTCTCAAATAAAGCTCTAATAAGCACAACCCAAAATACTGCGTTCATTGTACTTATTTTTCTAGCTGCATCCGATCTACATGCTTTCTTAAAGTAATGATAATTAAATGGATTAACAGCATAACCTTGGATCCGTCCCTCAGGGGGGCGGTTTCTGTGTATTAGCAGCACAGTGGCAGGGCAAACAAGCTAAATGCATAAACAACACCAGCAGTAAGGATGAATATTAATGGATTAAACAACTGAATTCAAGATAAAACATTTTTATTAAGGACATGTTAGTACGTCTGCGACAGGGGCGGATTTAGGAAATGTGGGGCCCTAGGAAAAGACAGGCAGGGGGCCCCTCTGAATTGAGAAGACAACACATAAAACAGACCCATTATACAGATAGAGAAATGTTAATAGAATAGACATCCATTATTTGTTCTAGGTTTTTTTTGAGACACACTTAATATTATCAGCGTTCTGATGCCATTTTAGCCAAAGGACTTTAATCAAAAACATAATAAATGTGCACAAATAAGGAATAGTTGTATTAACCATACATGGAAACAGAGTTTTATGGGGCCCCCAGGAACTTGGAACTGCCTAGTATTGCCTGATGGGAAATCCTCCCTGGTTGGAGTTTTGTAAACTGGAATTGACCTTGACAATGCAATGGAAAAATTGGAAATGATAATTGCTTAAGTTTTCCTCTCTTAATGTTAAAGAATCCTATGCCTCCAAAAAATTAACAAAAAAAAACAAACAAACAAGAAAACAATCAAAGTAGTGTAGGATCATAACAAAAACATGAATATGATAGCTGAAGACATTGTGACGGCGGTGGGAAAGATGAAGGCGATCAGCGTTTCTCCAACTGTACCAACACACTTCGCAGTTTATCCACCAACACTGCAGAGGACAAAAACAAAGAGAGAAGCTGCTCTGCCTTAATTGTTTCACTGTAAAAGTTAGATCCAAAATGTAGCTGATTTACCAAATCAACAAATGATGCAGTGAGCTGATGAAGCTAGCAGCTCCTTACCTCCAGCAGACGGCCTCTCGGAGCTTTCATAAGCCCTGCAGGCAGTAATCAGCTCTCCCAGCGATTCAGGGCAATCAGCAGGGAGAGGCTCCTGATATTTGTTCTCAAACACCTTTTTATAAATGATATTATCATCACCACCACAGTCTGGAAGAACAAAGAGAAATTTATTGTATTTTAGCTTCTGAATGTGCTTTCAGGAAGCCAGAATTAGTAACCTTAACATCAGAGATGGGAAGTAACGAAGTATAAATACTTTGTTACTGTACTCAAGTAAATTTTTCTGATATTTTTACTTTACTTTACTACTTATTTTTATGGCAATTTTTTACTTCTACTCCTTACATTTTTACACAAATATCTGTACTTTCTACTCTTTACATTTTAAAAAATTGGCTCGTTACTTTAGTTTTGAATCATTTCAATGGAGTTACCGTTATTATTTTTCACGTCATCAATACCAAATTCAATCTAATTGGATGGGAATCTACGTTGCATTTGACGCACCACTACAAGATGAATCGACAGATTCGGCGGTATTCATTCGCGGCAAATCATTGCAGCTTGGTGGTGGTGGCGTTAGCATAGTAGTATGGACGACGAGATGATTGAAAATGAACACAATGGAGATCTAGTCCTATTGGCAGACATCCATTTAAAATGTAGGCAACGGCATGAAAAAAGTGGTTTCTACTTTTACTTTTATACTTAAAGTAGATTTACAAGCCTGTACTTTGTTACTTTCACTTGAGTAAAGAAGTTTAATCAGTACTTCCACTTTTACCAGAGTATTTTTTAACACAAGTATCTGTACTTTTACTCAAGTACGGAAAGTGAGTACTTTTGCCATCTCTGCTTAACATCCATCCTCCTTTATCTCCAGCCTTTAAGCTTAATAAGTTTGATACCAGATTTTTTTTATATACCTTTGTGATCAGGGCCTAAATTGCCAAATAATCTTATGACTAAAAGTAGCTAGTTATGTCATTTTAAAGGAAAAGTCCGCTCATATTGAGAATCTAAACTTCGGAAAGTTCTTTAAATATGAAATTATTCCAAACTGTTTGATAAATGATCAGTGTTTTTAATTCAGAGTAATTTTCATGTGAATGTGCTTTACCGGAGGCATCCATGTTTGTCAAAGAACACTACTGCCACCTACTGGTTTGTGACGTCACGGTGCGGTTTCAGCTGTTGATCAAGTCCCAGTGCTGTATCTGGTGTTTGTCACAACGCGCTATTATCCAAGTCATCTTGAAAACATTCTTCTTCCAAATGTTGGCTACATATTACGTGTTTTTTCTCTGGCCAGAAGTTCGATGGTAAATCCTCCCTCTTCAAGTTGGCGATCCAACGACCAACCCGTCCGTGGAGGATCAGGAATCAGAAAGGTGGAATAACTGTTTTTTTTTTTCACTTTTACCCGATGTATTCCAGCATCCAGCTGCCATGCACGTGGGCATTGTCAGTTTCACTATGGCTCTGGTGAATTTCAATGGTGAAGTCCTCTGGAAATCTTCAATAATTGTTGTTGATTGCAGATGTGTCTAGTAGTTCCCATTGATTTTGCTTGTAAAGCAGGGAGAATGGCGCTAGGCTTACCGCACCGTGACGTCACTGCTGGAAGATGGCAGGAGGGAGGGGCTACTATATTTTGGCAAAAATGGCCGCTCCCAGACTCAGTGATCGCGATGAAAATTATTGTTTTTATTTTTTAACTGATTAACACTAAGTTCATTAAATCACTGCAAACATAAAACAAACCAGGAAACAACCTCCTACTTATGAGATGGTTCTAGAAAGGTTTAACTGATCAGGTATTTCATGGTAATTATATTAATGAAGGACTTTCCAATGCACCAAGATTATTTGGAAATACGGCATCACAGATACACACCTTCAAAAGGCTTCTTGCGCGTCGCTATTTCCCACAGAACGATTCCCAAGCTGAAAAAGGAAAAGTCCCTATTAGGGTTTATTGTATTCTACTTTCAATTTAATTCTATTCAGTTTATTTATATAGCTTCAATTCATATCATGTCATTTTAGGTCACTTTCTACTTCACCAGATCATCCAGTCAGATTGATTCAAAGTTTTCTATGTAAGGAAAACCAGCTGATTGCATCGACTCATTGACTCTTCAGCAATCCTTCACACTAAGCATGCTTGTAGTGACAGTGGAGAGGAAAAACTCCCTTTGAACAGGAAGAAACCTCCAGCAGAACCAGGCTCAGTGTGAACGGCCATCTGCTGAGGCTGACTGGGGTTCAAGGAGACAGAAGCAGACATAGAAAAAGAAGCATAGATACAAAAGGAACTTGTCAACCAGCTCCACAGGCGGCCCTGTCCAGGAAACACACAGCCAGGCAGACGAGCTCCGAGCCAGCTCCCATGTCAGAGGATGAAGAGAGCACATCCAGTTAGTCACAGTCAGAGAAACAGGACTACACTGGAAAAACAGGCCAAGCTCCAACATCTAGAAACAAAGGAGTTTATGGCAGCAGCACAGCTGATATTTCTCTCCAGGATGGAGTCACAGCCAAACAGGAACATTTATTTTCCTCTGAGACAAATGTATATTTATTAACTCTTATTCACTTTTAAACTAATCGTTGTTTTTTTAAAGACACTCATGGCTTGGTAAACCTGCACATGAAATGTTTCTGTTGTATTTACGCTATGACCACTATGATCTGCAAAACATTTGCATGTATAAAAAGATGTGCAATCAGTGCAAAGCTTACATACAAACCAGGCGTGAATCTAATTTTTTGTATAAAATGTTCAGAACAGCAGACACTAGGGGTGTCAAACTGGTTCCAGAAAGGGCCGTGTGGCTGCTGGTTTTCTTTCCTACCAAGCACTAACACACCAGACTCCATTCATCCCATCAAGTCATCAGGTTAAGACTGGACTCACTTGATGAGATGAATGGAGTCTGGTGTGCTACTGCTTGGTAGGAAAGAAAACCAGCAGCCACACGGCCCTTTCTGGAACCAGTTTGACACCCCTGCACTAAATGATGCCTTTATGAATATGCAGATTATTTTCTGATGAGCTGTGGAAATATATATGAGAAGGACATGCAAATCAAGTGACCCCGTCCTGCAAACAGGAAGCCTGGGATCGTTTCCCAGCTCTGGATGAGCTGCCAGGATGCGGCCTTAGGCAAGACCCTTCATGCTAAGGCCTAGTGGTTAGAGCATAGAGCTTGGAAATCCAGAGGTTGTGGGTTTGAGTCCCACTCACACAGGCTGCCACTCTGGATCCCTGAGCAAGACCCATAACCCCACACTGCTCCCTGGGAGCCACACAGTGGCAGCCCACTGCTCCCCAAGGGGATGGGCTAAATGCACCAATCTCTATTTATTCACTGGATTGCTGATTGCTCGAAAAAAGTGAAGCCACCGTCTGCCATATTGGTACTGCCCACTCCCACGGAGACGAGCAGTAAAAATGCCGCTCTGTGAAGCATTTGGCTGCAGAAACACGCAGTTTTCTGGCTGTGGGAAGTTTTTTCACCATTATTTTAACAATCATTGTCAGGGTGTGCAAACATACTTGTATGTACAGTTTTTTGAAATGATTAGATTCTCGTTGTAACTATGAGCAAAAAGCAAAACATGAACTTGATGTTTCCTGTTATTTTACCAATTTATGTGTTTTTTTTCTAGTGTAGAAACTGAAGCTCTGTGGAGTTAATAAATTGGTTCATTAATTTAGCTCTATTGTAAATCTATGTCAGATTTAAAGGCTGATGTTTATGGCATCATTCATGCACAATCTGCAAAAAAAAAAATACTAAAGCATTAACATTTATATTCAGTCTTTATGTAAAATTTTAAAATTATATGCAAGATGTACTGCAATAATGACATAAATCCATGTATATTTCATGTTCATCATCAATGTAACACTATTGGCTCATCAGTATTATTCTGCTCCATTAACACATTAATTTTCAATATGATGGATTTGTATAATATGTTGTATTACATGATTTATAGACTTCATAATGACTATGCAATGTGATGGGCTTATTTATTTATTCTAAGTTAAAGTTAATCTACTGATGCTATGAAACAGCCAGTCTGTGTCAAAGTGATGAATTTATCTTTATTTTAAATGTCTTCAGTCCCCCTGGAAATGAGAACATCGTGGTTATTCGATGCTGTAGCGCACTGATTGTTTACATTGAGACCGGTTTAACTTGGGAGTACCAATATGGCGGCTGGTGGCTTCACTTCAACCCCGTATTTCCAACGGCCAATCCAGTGAATAAACAGAGATCAGTGGTTAAATACTGAGAGTTCATTTCTTTGCTCTGTACTTGTGAATGTTTAATGACAATTAAAAAAAGCAAAAATGTGGTGCAAAGCAATTCATCACAGCTGAAGCTGGTTGTAGGAAGAGCTTTAGTTTTCTGTTCTGCATTTTTGAACGTCATGTGCAAACTCACACAGAGATTTCTGTTGTCGTGGCCTAAAGAAGGCGATGGTACGATGACAGACAATGAATATGCTGCATATGTGAATAAGGAGACGGATGTCTGTGTGGGACAGATTCCAGCACTGCGCTACTTTAGGCGGCGGCATGTTGGAGAAGCTAGTTCAACTCTCATGTTTTATTTTTTTAACTCCTCTGTTTGTGGATCAGCTTTTTGTTTTGTTTTTTTGTCTTTGCATTGAATGCTGTAAAACTGGAAGGATTATTACTGATCTTTCCTTCCTTTTTGGACACTTGTTATGACCCATAACCACAGCTACCAATGCAAGTTGATTTATTTTTGGTTGTTTTCTTGAGATGATTTCATAAAGACAAATTAATTTTTAAAGTAAAAATGATGATAGACAGCAGTAGCGAGGACCCCTTTTCAGAAGATTGTTAAACAAGTTTTCAAAAAGAGGCTCCAGGTCGACAATGGGTTTGTTGACAAACTGTCTATGAGTTACTGCAAGACTTAATTTCCGTTCGGGATTAATTGGTTATTTTTAAATTGAACTTGATTGAATTATTATAGAGGGAAACAATCTTTATGCAGCTAAACCAAAATAAAACAAATACAATGACTGAACTTTTGACATTTTGTAAACAAACGAAGCTGAATAACAACAGCTACCAGAGAATCATGGAGGATGGACATCAATGATGGTAAACAAAAGGAATGTTCTTGATGCATGAACTGGTGCCTCCCTGAGAGGAATTTCCTTTATTGTTCCTTTAATGGCTGCAATTAACTTTTCTTTGTAGAACTAAATTCCTCGCAGTGAATATGGGGGTTTCTGAACTGGTTTTGCAAGTGCTATCTATTACCTAATCAATCACAAGTAACATGCCCACATATTAAACATTTATGTTTTTGGTTTATTTAGAGCTCATTATTTAAAACCTTTGAAGATCGTGTCTTTAGTCAGGAACAACTGTAAACCGAAAGTGAGATGTCAAAAAGTCTGGTGCTATATTCACACATAACGCGCTTTCAGCATCAAAGAAGCTCCTGCTGCTTCATATTTAATCCACTTTAAGGTCAGCCGTCCGGTAAAGTGCATCCAGATGCTTCTGCTGCTCCTGTGTTCAATGCCAGAGAGCAGCTTTGCTATATTTGCTGTGATCAGCGGGTAAAAAGTAGTTTGAATCTATTTTGAAGTGAGAAAGTCCTCCTGAAAACATGGTCTGTGCAGTCAGTTCATCCAGATTACCATCCTGCCTTCAAAGATTATTTCTCTGAGGGAGCCGCTCAGACCCCCACATACCGGCGGTGCGCTACACTGGGAATCCCCAGCAGCAACTTGTAAAGTGCGTCATGCACCTAAGATGCTCAGAAGCTCCTGAGGCGCTGCTCCTGCTGCTCTAGACTCTGCAGGAACTTTTGATGCATCTTGCTGCATATCCAGGGGTGCATGTTAACCATCGCCCGATCTCCCGGGTCAAGTAGTTTTTATTGTCGGGAGAGTACAAATTTCATTGCATTTGCCCACCGGGCAAGTGCATTGATCGCAAAAAATTTTTTTATTTATAACTCAAAATTACTTTAAAATCACCGACATTCGCTGAAAAGGACCCACAAGCGTTGCCGTTTTTGTTGTTTTGTACACATTCTCGCGTGATTTGAAAAAGCTGCGTGATTTTACGCCAGATGGCGAGATTTTTGTCCACCTGGCGGTAATTTTGATGTAGCTACCAAAACGACAAACAAGCTAGAAAGCGCTATCATATGCAACCCAGTCTCATGGGAAAATGTACCCCCACTACGTTGGTCCACACTGCAAAACGTAGTGGAGGTACATTAATGGCCATTTTTTTGTGGTACTGTTACATTTCTTCTGCCTATACGCTTTCTATTGTTTTATGTCCTAGTCACGTGACTTTCAAGATTCCAAGTTTGTTTTTGCATTAAAATGAGTTTCACCGGGGCCCCACTCTGGAGCCAGGCCTGGAGGGGGGGCACGATGGCGAGCGCCTGGTGGCCGGGCTTTTACCCATGGGGCCCGGCCGGGCTCAGCCCGAAGAGGAAACATGGGTCCCCCCTTACATGGGCCCACCACCCGTGAGAGGGGCCACAGGGGTCGGGTGCAATGTGTGTTGGGTGGCGGCCGGGGGAGGGGACCCTGGCGGTCCGATCCTCGGCTGCAGAAGCTGGCTCTTGGGACGTGGAATGTCACCTCGCTGGTGGGGAAAGAGCCGGAGCTAGTGTGTGAGGCTGAAAGGTTCCGGCTAGAAATAGTCGGTCTCACCTCAACACATGGTTCTGGAACCAGTCTCCTTGAGAGGGGCTGGACATACTTCCACTCTGGAGTTGCCCACGGTGAGAGGCGCCGGGCAGGAGTGGGCATACTTGTTGCCCCCCATCTCAGTGCCTGTACGTTGGGGTTTACCCCGGTGAACGAGAGGGTAGCCTCCCTCCGCCTACGGGTGGGGAGACGGGTTCTGACTGTTGTCTGTGCTTACGGGCCGAACAACAGTTCAGATTACCCACACTTCTTGGAGTCCTTAGAGGGGGTACTGGAGGGTGCCCCTCCTGGGGATTCCCTTGTTCTGCTGGGAGACTTCAACGCTCACGTGGGCAATGACAGTGAGACCTGGAGGGGCGTGGTTGGGAGGAATGGCCGCCCTGATCTGAACTCGAGTGGTGTTCTGTTGTTGGACTTCTGTGCTCGTCATGGATTGTCCATAACGAACACCATGTTCAAGCATAAGGGTGTCCATATGTGCACATGGCACCAGGACACCCTAGGCCGCAGTTCGATGATCGACTTTGTCATCTTTTCGTCGGACTTGCGGCCGTATGTCTTGGACACTCGGGTGAAGAGAGGTGCTGAGCTTTCCACTGACCACTACCTGGTGGTGAGTTGGCTCCGGTGGTGGGGGAGGATGCCGGTCAGACCTGGCAGGCCCAAACATGTTGTGAGGGTCTGCTGGGAACGTCTGGCGGAGTCCCCTGTTAGGCGGAGCTTTAACTCCCATCTCCAGCAGAACTTCGAACACATACCGGGGGAGGTGGGGGACATTGAGTCCGAGTGGACCATGTTCCGTTCCTCCATTGTCAAGGCAGCTTATCTGAGCTGCGGCCGCAAGGTTGTCAGTGCCTGTCGTGGCGGCAACCCTCGAACCCGTTGGTGGACACCTCCGGTGAGGGATGCTGTCAGGTTGAAGAAGGAGGTGGGACTCCGGAATCAGCTGATGGGTACCGGCAGGCGAAGCGGCATGCGGCTCGGATGGTTGCTGAGGCAAAAACTCGGGTGTGGGAGGAGTTTGGAGAGGCCATGGAGAAAGACTTCCGTATGGCTCCGAAGCGATTCTGGTCCGCCATCCGGCATCTCGGGAGGGGGAAGCAGTGCAGCACCAACACTGTTTATAGTGGGGATGGTGTGCTGCTGACCTCGACTCGGGACGTTGTGGGTCGGTGGGCGGAATACTTTGAAGACCTCCTCAATCCCACCAACATGTCTTCCATTGAGGAAGCTGGGCCTGGGGACTCTGGACTGGGCTCTCCAATCTCTGTGGGCGAGGTCGCCGAGGTGGTTAAAAAGCTCCTCGGTGGCAGGGCCCCGGGGGTGGATGAGATCCGCCCGGAGTTCCTCAAGGTCCTGGATGTTGTAGGGTTGTGTTGGCTGACACGACTCTTCAACATTGCATGGACATCGGGGGCAGTCCCCCTGGATTGGCAGACTGGGGTGGTGGTCCCCCTGTTCAAAAAGGGGGACCGGAGGGTGTGCTCCAATTACAGGGGAGTCACACTCTTAAGCCTCCCCGGTAAGGTCTATTCGGGAGTGCTGGAGAGGAGGGTCCGTCGGATAGTCGAACCTCGGATTCAGGAAGAGCAGTGTGGTTTCCGTCCTGGTCGTGGAACGCTGGACCAGCTCTACACCCTCAGCAGGGTCCTGGAGGGTGCATGGGAGTTCACCCAACCAGTCGGGCTCATTTCCGGTGAGAGTTGGACTCCGCCAGGGCTGCCCTTTGTCACCGATTCTGTTCATTACCTTCATGGACAGAATTTCTAGGCGCAGCCAAGGTGTTGAGGGGATCCGTTTTGGTGGCCTTAGGATTGCGTTTCTGCTTTTTGCAGATGATGTGGTCCTATTGGCTTCATCAGGTCGTGATCTGCAGCTCTCGCTGGATCGGTTCGCAGCCGAGTGTGAAGCGGCCGGGATGGGGATCAGTGCCTCCAAATCCGAGGCCATGGTCTTGAGCCGGAAAAGGGTAGAGTGCCTTCCTAACCCTAACCGGGTCAGGGGGGGTGTCCTGCCCCAAGTGGAGGAGTTTAAGTATCTTGGGATCTTGTTCACGAATGAGGGAAGAAGGGAGCGGGAGATCGACAGGCGGATTGGTGCAGCGTCTGCCGTAAAGCGGGCGCTGTACCGGTCCGTCGTGGTGAAGAGAGAGCTGAGTCAAAAAGCGAAGCTCTCGATTTACCGGTCGATCTACGTTCCTACCCTCATCTATGGTCATGAACTCTGGGTCATGACCGAAAGAACGAGATCGCGGATACAAGCGGCCGAAATGGGTTTCCTCTGTAGGGTGGCTGGGCTCTCCCTTAGAGATAGGGTGAGAAGCTCGGTCATCCGGGAGGGACTCGGAGTAGAGCCGCTGCTCCTCCACGTCGAGAGGAGCCAGTTGAGGTGGCTTGGGCATCTGTTTAGGATGCCTCCTGGACGCCTCCCTGGTGAGGTGTTCCGGGCACGTCCCACCGGGGGGAGGCCCCGGGGAAGACCCAGGACACGCTGGAGAGACTATGTTTCTCGGCTGGCCTGGGAACGCCTTGGGGTTCCTCCTGAAGAGCTGGAAGAAGTGGCTGGGGAGAGGGAAGTCTGGGCCTCCCTTCTTAAGCTGCTGCCCCCGCGACCGACCCCGGATAAGCGGAGGAAGATGGATGGATGGATGGATGGAGTTTTGATTACATTTCTAGTGAGAAATCTATAGTTTGTTGTCAGAATATTTACTCAGGGAATGTACATATTCACTTGCTTGTTCGTTTCTTGCAAAGATTTTTCAAGATAATGTGAAACTGTAACATTTTGGTATAAACATGGCCGAAATTTCTCTAACTTTTAGTGGGAAAATCAATAATTTCAATCAGTTTCTGCATTTAAATGGGTTTTGATTACATTTATAGCGAGAAGTGTAGGGTTTATTTACATAATATTTACTTAGTGGACATACATAATCACTCCCTTGCTAGTTTTTGCTACGGTTTTTTGGATCTCGTCAGGATTATGTGAAATTGCAACGTTTTGGCTGCTACCCATCGCCTAGCATTTAGCTGCCGCCCCAATTCAACATTGAAAATTCTTTGTGATTTAACTCCATCTGACGGATCAAACCCTCGCCACTGCGTATGTTGCGTCTGAGGTTGATTTTTAGATCAATGCATTACGTCGTGGCATACGGGAGAACTAATGTTGACAAAATGATCGTGGGTTAAGATCGGATGTGTTTTATTTGGAAATCTACCGGATCCTTTGTGCATTTAACTTCCTGTTTGGTGCGATCTCATTGATGGGTTTTGACCAGATTTTGACCAAAGAGGAACTAAAAAAAAAAAAAAAACAATTTAAATACACAACCAGCATATCTGGAATCAGTGACAGAGAGCGACTGGGACCAGAAGTTTATTAATTTCTCCCCATTGATTTCCATTCAAAATGTTTTCGCTCCCACCGGGCTCTAGGGAAGGGGCGTGCGTACCGCCACCTACTGTTCATGAGTGTGTAGCAACATTGTTTTACATCTATTAAATTCTATTTTTTTATTTTGTATTCTGAAGATAAATAAATAATGCTTTCCTTGATCTATAAATATCTTTTATATTTCCTTTATTTCCCAATAATCCTTTAAGACTCCATTCTTTGGCCTGTCCTTTAAACTCTTTCTCATCAATAGGTGTTCTACATTTTCTATCTCTCCACATCCTTCACATTTATCATTATTTTTCCTCCCTATTAAGTATAAATTGTCATTCAAATAAGTATGACCTACTCTTAATCTGATCATTGTTATTTCTTCCCTTCGGTTTCTCTCATTAATATTTCTATTTAATACTGACTTTTGTACTTTATATAACCTTCTTCCTTTTTTATCTTCATTCCACCTTTTTTGCCATTTTTCAATTTCTTTCCTCTTAATAAATGATTTTCCTTCCCCTTTCCCTAAAGGAATTGTAATTGTTATTGCCTCCTCTAAAGCCCTTTTTGCTAATTTGTCTGCCTATTCATTTCCTTTTACCCCTTCATGTGCTGGAACCCAACAAAACCAAATATCAATGCCACTCCTGTATAATCTAAATAAACTGTGCTGAATTTCTAATACTAAATCTTTCCTATTATTTCCTTCCCCCTGAATACTTTCTAAAACTGCTTTGGAATCTGTGCATACCACCAACCTGTCTGCTCTGACCTCCTCAACCCATTGGAAATTATTATTAGTATTATCTAGTATAAACATACCATAACTCTAAAGTTAAAGTTATTCATTTGTTACATTGACTTCTGTCTTGTGATTTATCTTAACTTTTTAACCTGTCAAGTTTTTTTTAGATTTTTAACATTACAATTTATATTTTTCCAAGCGCACAACAGTTTAAAGCAAAGTTTAGTTTGAAAAGAATGTGCAGGAAGGATTGAAAAGCATGTTAACACGGTAATGTAGGCTTGAGTTCATTATCTGACGCATGCATAAACACACCAGGAACCTGGAAACTTAAAAAATACTGAATTATAAAAAAGATTTAAAAAACAAACATGTTTCATTGGTATATATACAAAAATGAATATTAGGAACTATATTTATCAAACATTATACTGGGCAAGTAAAAATTGTTTCTGGGCAAATGAAATGTGAAAGTCACTTGCCCTTCAAGCAAGTGGTAAAAATCTTTAACATCAACCCCTGACATCCATTATAGACTTTGCATGTGAAGCCGCTGCTTCTGCTGCTCAAAGTGCATGCCGTGTGAATGTAGCATGAGTCATAGTATTGAATGACTGGCTGGAGGAACTAGAGTTACAGACCTGTAGATCTCACACTCCTTGCTGTAGGTGTGGTTGATGTTGCCCAGCTGCTGAGGGGAAGAGTAGCACACTGAGCTGATGTCTTTATCTTTCTCTTTGTCCTTAGCCGTCCTTTTCAGTGAGGTCTCTGTTTTGGCCAGTTCTAAGCCTCCCAGCTGACAGAAGAAGAGTGTTAGAAGTCCTGGTAGTTAGCAGCAAGTCATCCCAGTGTATTTTGGCTTCTCTACCTTCACTCTGTAGTTCTCGTCCACGAGGAACTTGCTGCTGGTGATGCCCATATGAAGCTTGCTTACTTCCTCAGACAGATGGAGTCTAAGAGGCAAAATTATCAAAGATCATTTTATTTATTTATCCGTATAAAAAAGGCATCTGTCAAACACTTCTTACCTCAGCTTTCTAACATTAGGTTACAACTTAGCAAGTTACTAATGTTCTCTATTAACACAGCTGCATTGCAGCTGCATTGCAAAAAATGGAAACCTAAATAAGTCATATTTTCTTAAAATAAGTGCATTTTTTCTTGAATGAAGGAGGTGAGCATAAAATTGCATAAAATTCCTGTTGACAGCTGCAAAATGCAAAGAGTCGCAGAAATTTCACAGAATAACTTCCCCTTCTGAGATTTACAACCTCTGACTCTGTAACTGATGGAGGTTCCCCTTAATTTCTCTTCAGTTAAACAGCCACAAAACTAAAATGTAGAATGGCTTCTTTCTAGACACATTTTCAACCCTCATATAGGCTGATTAAGCAACTATTTTGGATTCATTTTTCCGTGCTAGTCTTGACCATCATGTTTCCTAAGCAACCGCTCTCTGTGTGTAAGTACAACAGATCATTTACGAGCAGACTAACCGGTAAAGTCCCTGTGCTGCATCCAGACACATGGAAGCCTTTCTGGTCCATAACAGCTCATGTTTGGAATTCAGAAAATCTCGCAGGCTTCCATTTTTGCAGTACTCCATGATGACGAGGAACTCCGGATTTGAAGCTGCAGGCAGATTCATGACTTCATGCTGTTTTAAACTGCACTAAACCTTGTGTTGAACAATACTCACTGTTCTCCCCTTGGATGCAGATGCCAAACATACGGAGAATGTTGGGTGATTCGAACCGTTTCATGTTGTCAACCTCCTTATCGAAGATGGACTTTATCTCCCTGTAGGTGGAGAAGAAACGGTGCACATGCTGAAATTAGCTTTATTTGGAACAAATTAAGCTCAATGTAAAATCCTCCTTCTCACATATAGATGGAAACATTGAACTTTAGCTGCTGGACGCGCCGCATCAACCAATCAGAGAAGCTGATCTGGGAGCTGGCAGGGAGACAGACACAGCACTGCTGATGCAGAGCGCTATGATCACTCCTCTGAAACAGTTTATTAAAGCCTAAATTAGAGGTATAGTGGAGGAATTTCGTGAATTTTTGAAAAACTTAAAAAAAAGAAAAAATGCACATGCTCAACCCTGTACCCGCTCCTGAGAGGGAACGTCTATTAGACATGTGGGGAAAGAAGATCTGCAATTTTTCCACTATGTCAGACTCACCATCAGTACGTGAAAATGAGGACGAGCACAAAGGAGGGCCTTACGCAAACATATCACCAGAATGATTGACAGTTAGTAGGAGGACCTATTTTGATGATCCACTCAGAAGAAGAACATCCTCCACTATACCTTTAACTTAAATGTAGAAACCTGCTGGCAGAATATGTTCGCTTTTATTATCCTGCTGTCTTCAGTTTGTAGCACAGACCTGAAAAACGCTAACATCTACTTCCAGCCGCCACCAACAGTAGGGAAAACCCCCAAGAGGCGAGCGGGCCTGAGGCAGCTGCTGCTGGGGATTCCCAGTGACAGCGCACCGCCAGTGTATGGGGGTCTGAGCGGCTCCCACAGAGAAATAATCTTTGAAGGCAGGATGGTAATCTGGATGAACTGACTGCACAGACCATGTTTTCAGGAGGACTTTCTCACTTCAACATAGATTCAAACTACTTTTTACCCACTGATCAGAGCAGATATAGCAAAGCTGCTCTCTGGCATTGAACACAGGAGCAGCAGAAGCATCAGACGCATCTGGACACACTTTACTGGACGGCTGACCTTAATGTGGATCAGAGGTGAAGCAGCAGAAGCTGTATTGCTGCTGAATTTGCGTGTGGTGTGAACGTAGCATAAGGATCTCCATTAAGCATCAGCCATTGAGGCCAGAAACACTTTGAACAAAAGTAAATCTAAAATGCAGATGGTTTCTAGCTTAACTTGGCTATAAACATTTTAATCTAACCAGCCAATCAGAGGACAGAAAATGCTGATGTAGGGGCGGGGCCTCTAGCGTGAGGCAAACCTGAAATCTGATTGGTTGGAGAAAATGTTCCTCGCTAATGTTGTTAAGGTAACATCAGCAGCACTGCTGACTCTGAAGGCCCTGGGCTGATTAGATTGCCATAGCAACACACTAAGGCTGAAATCTGATTTCACAGAAAATACAGCAACTAGATAAATGTAATGAAATAGCGCAGCCAAGAGAAACACTTCAAAATTAAGAGAATGGATTGTTTGGAATAAATTAATACAGCTGGAAAGAAGAGAAAGTTTAGCTATGAATGTATGTTAGTGTTTCTGACTGATTTTAGGCCTGCAGTGAAGCCCTGAGCGCCCACCACATATAATTAGATGATTATTAAGTTTAACTCTGCCACACACCTTGGTTTTGTATTGGTAGCTCCACTGTATTTCTTGATAGCCACCATGAAGCCACCAAATTCTCCTTTGTAGACCTTTGAGGTTGTTGTAGTCATGAATGGCTCTGTTTCTACATTCTTCAGTTCCTCTGGTTTAATTATTCGGATGTCCATGGTTAGGATTCTGGGCTTATTCACTGTGAAGACATTAAGTCAGATGCTGTTTTCAGATCTTCAGATTATCAGAACAACCAGTTGCAAGAGCTCATTGAAAATCAGTTTATTTGTTCATTTGATTTTCATACTTCCCCCTTTAAAATTTCAGTCTTTTTTTATACTTTATTTCCAGGTTATGTAGGTTCAGATTAACAAATATTCAAGTTGTTTAGTTTTGTTTGAGTTTACATCTCAGTCTATTTGGATTTGATGAAAAATGGTTCAACCAGCTAAATGCTGAGCAGGTTGTTCGCTATTGTGCGACTATACCCACTTCTCCAGGGCAGGGGATTGAGAAAATTTGGGGCCCTAAGCAAAGACAGGCAGGGGGCCCTCTGAATGGAGAAGGCAGCACATAAAACAGACCCATTATCCAGATAGAGAAATGTTAATAGAATAGACATCCATTATTTGTTCTAGGTTTTGTCCCTCTCTTCTTGTTTTCCTCTCTATGTTTTGTACTCAGCTGACTTTTCATGCTGTCTCTAAAGGAATGAAAGATTTTTCCCAAGCACTAAGCTCACTTAGCTGATTGCTCCTTCCTGTGTTTCCAAAAAGGCCAAAGTAAATAACCCAGTCCTTCTTTTCACTGTAGACAAGCCATGATCTGCTTATCTGTTCTCCATTTTTCATTTGGATGAAATAATAGCTGCATGAATCATGACAGCAGACAAGATAGAGGAGAGCAGGAGGCGGGGTTACCAATCTACTTGCTCTGGAGAGCAGAGTTCGCTGCTTTTAGATGTTGTCTCCAAAGTCTCCAGTAGCAGAAAAAAACTCTCTAGATTTGGCGCTAGGAGCTTTTTAGAAATCAAAGTGCTAGAGGGGTCTGAAAAGTGGCTAAATATAGCGACTAAAGCGCTAAGTTGGCAACACTGCTCTTTGCATGGTTTGTTTTCAAATGGTTTGCTGCTGTCTGTTTGGACCTTTCTGAACATGTGCAGCAAATGGACTGATCCAATATGGTGGACACTGAAGGGGGGGGGCTGAGACACACTTAATGTTATCAGCGTTCTGATGGCATTTTAGCAAAATAATTTTTATCAAAAACATAATTAATGTGAACAAATAAGGAATAGTTGCATTAACCATACATGTAAACAGAGTTTTACGGGGGCCCTAGGCTACTGCCTAGTATTGCCTAAATAGCTGGACGATGTTTGGTCATAAACTCTCTATTTTGTTGAATTTAGTCCATATATGTGGAGATGATTTTTTTTTTACCATTATTTGGGCTTGATTAACACCTTCATTTTTTGTTCTGTATTCACACACAATATATGATAGTCTGAAAGTTATTTGATTAAATAATTATTAAATAAATATTTACCACACTTATCATAATAGCAATAAATATCTTTATTGCACAACAGCTACTACAGCTGAAAACCACTGATTATGGCTGAAATATTGGTGTCACTATGAACCTTCAGAGGCTCATAAAGGCAGTTACTGAATTCCCTTTTATCCT